TGGAAAATGCGTAGCTTAGTGGCGTCTAAAACAGCTGCCATTATGAAAATCTGTGCAATGACGATACAATTACCACAACTTCAATATCTACATTGCAGAGTAGATACAATGATATATATTGTATAGTTTCCAGGAGTGGCAGGCCCTATTTCGGAAACGGATACAAGTCTTGGCGGTACTTTTGAACCTCCACAGCCTCCGGGGCTGATTCCTGCACTCCGAGCCGCGAGTTTCCTGCCCCCACACGTATATTTGACAGCTGATTCAGCGCTAAACTTAATTAATCCTAGAGTTAATTTATGATCGGGGTTGCCGAAGCACGTCATCTCAAAATATGGAGACAACAAGATTGTATACGTGGGTTGAAGTGATTGCTCACATAAAGAACAAATACTAACCGATATATTCAGCCTGGGCAGTGTAACGGAAGGAATGCCGCTTAAGGTTCGGCCGACCATCGGCGGGTCATCCCACACCGTTGAGAGATTTCAAATGTGTAAGCCGATTTAATGGCTTATATCATAGGGAGGATTTCATGGTAAATTTTCAGCCTTCCCCATGAACTCAAACTACTGTGTGTACTCAAATTTTTCACATAGCCCCTTGGACAATTTTCGGAACGTCGTCCGATGAGGTTAGTTCTACAACGTACGATCCATGGATCTGAGGGCACCTAGGCAGAGGTGGAAGCTTGGAAGATTCGGAAATTTCCTTAATGGGATTAGGTCGGCATTCTAAGTGGAGCTTGCCGAGAATCTATCACAGAATGCCGATGAATAATAGAGAAGTATATCTACTAGCGTCATCGTTAGGCCCCCTCCGATGAGGGATTCCCTACGCTCACTGGTTACTACTGGACATCCTAGTTGACTGGCCAATTATTGACAAGTGATTGGCCCAATGACATGATACGTTCCATTTTGGTACGCCCTGCGCTTGACTTCCCCGCACGGTCTTTATTTGGATCTGAATTGACATCGCGTATAAAAGTTTCTACTTTCTATAATTGACATCATTCCCATTTCTTAGACATCTTTCTTTTTTTCTTGTCGGTTCTACTTCGTGGACTGGTTTTGACAATGGAGGAAGTGTCACGCTCACACATGGCAACAAACGACACAGAAAAGGGGGTCCAGACACCGCCAGGTGAGACAAATTACGGTACTCACCTATCGAATATCCAAGATGACGCACCACTCCCACCGATGGATGGCGGAATGGACGCATGGCTGTTCCTAGCCGCATGTTTCGCCATGGAGGCTCTCGTCTGGGGATTTGCATTCACATACGGAGTGTTCCAAGCATACTACAGTGATATACCCCAATTCAAAGATTCCGGGAATATCGCCGTCGTGGGAACTTGCGCTATGGTAAGAATATACATGCTTATGGTTCCCCATCAATATAAGCTAACATATCCAGGGAATCATGTATCTCGACATCCCCCTCGTCTTCGCCGCCTACAGACAATGGCCTAGATATCAACGTCTCGGCTGTGGTATCGGTGTGTTAATGATGTGTGCTGCTCTCGGCCTCAGTTCCCTAGCCACAAACACCAACCACCTCATCATAACACAAGGCATCTTCTATGCCATCGGAGGCAGCATCGCCTACGCCCCTTGTATTCTGCTGATGGAAGAGTGGTTCGACCGACGAAAAGGCCTCGCCTTCGGCGTTATGTGGGCCGGCACTGGTCTCGGCGGCGCTGTCCTACCCATCGTTATCGAACAGTTGCTCGGCAAGTACGGGTACCGTATTACACTGCGTGGCTTCGCAGTTGTGTTGTTCGTCCTAACCGGACCGCTGGTCTACTTCGTGAAGCCGCGCGTGCCGATTCCCGCAAGTCGACCCAGTCCACCTGCCCCCAGCTTCCGGTTCTTATTTACATCCACTTTTGCCCTCTTTCAGGTCTGCAATACCATCGAGGCTCTTGGTTTCTTCTTGCCGTCGCTTTACCTCCCAACATACGCTGGAATGCTCGGAGCTTCGACGTCCCTCCAGGCTCTGACTGTTATCCTCTTCAACTCAGCATCGGTCGCCGGCTGCGTGATTATGGGCGCTATCATCGACAAGTTTGACGTCACCATTTGTATCCTAGTCAACACTATCGCATCCACTCTTGCCGTCTTCCTCATCTGGGGATTCTCGAAGTCCCTAGCTCCACTCTACGTCTTCTCTATTTTATACGGGCTTTCTGCAGGCTCATACACTAGTACCTGGCCCGGTATTATGCGTGAGGTGGTTAACAAAAAGCCATCGGCCGAATCGAGCATGGTCTTTGCGTCTCTTGCAGCTGGAAGGGGTATTGGGAACTTGGTCTCCGGTCCCCTTAGTGAAGCACTTGTTAAGGGCATGCCGTGGGAGGGAAATGTTGGATGGGGATATGGTAGTGGATATGGATCATTGATTGTTTTCACGGGTGTCACGGGTGTTGTGGGTGGTGGAAGCTACCTTGCAAGGTCCATGAAGTGGTTATAAGGGCAAAGCTTGCTATAAATGGAACATCACCTTGCACTAGATAACGATACAGTGGGTGGAAGATGATTAGATATTATTTTGTTATGGCTTTTCTGCACTATTCCAAATATATACAGCTTGGTTCCAAAATGGATTGCCTCTACACTCACAATTGCTTTGCAACAAGAGAAACTAATCGACCTGGTTACAGTATTCATCATATACCATTACTTTTGCGGCATTACTCTCTAGTACACTTGAGCCAGCCAGTTATCCATGCGCATTTAGGTATCAATTACTCCATATGCTCTTCGTTGTTTTGAGATGAAATTGTGCTTGCTCTCTGATATGTCGAGCAAAAATACCAGGCACTAAACAATATCGAACTTCCTGCCTCAAACCAACCTTGCAAATTCAAAAGCTTAGCTTCTGATTATTGCTTACAAGGATACGGGGCCGCACAAGCGGCCCGGTGATGTCTTTTCAGAGGTCTGCTCGGATATCATTCTGTGTAGATGTCAGGTTTATAGTCGAAGGTAAAAAGAGGCTTAATTTGTTATGCAGACGACTTTTCTAAATTTAATCTTCGATAATCAAAGATACAAAAACATACAACAGTGAGGATTCGCCAGTGGTCATCCACCCAACTACTAACTCACCAGCGTGTGGCTTATGTGCAGTCAATAGTTCGGTAGGTGTCGCCAGGGTGAGAAATAGGTAAGCGCCGCTTTACGGTCGCGCGACCGGGGGTAAGCAGGGTAAGTATACTATAGACTAAGTAAGTTAGTAAGAAGCGGGTAAGAATCACCCAAGAGAGTATAACGCCCGCACTAACCTCCTAAAGTAGCATAGGACCGTAATTTCGGGATCTCGAGGAGCAAGATATAGCGGACTCAAAGACGTACATACTAGGCCAAATCGGCAAACATTACGTCGTGAATGCCTGCCTCCCTGGAGGCCAGTACGGAACCATCCCTACTACCACGGTCGCAAACAACATGCTTCGCACCTTCTCCAAGTCACTTCGAATCGGACTGCTGGTCGGTATTGGGGGTGGAATCCCTTCAGCTGCTCATGATATCCGTCTCGGCGATGTCGTTATTAGCTGTCCCGAAGGCACTTGCGGTGGGGTGATGCAATATGATATAGGCAAGATTACCAGGTGATGAATTTGAACGAACTGGCTCGCTGAACAGTCCCCCGAGGGCACTTTTGACTGCAGTTGGCATGAGGAGAGCCGCCGGTTTGACAGATAATCCCCACTACCCATAATACCTCCAAAGCGTAATCGGAAGAACCGCTAGAACTCGGAAAAACTTTCGCTGGCCTTCTGCACTGTCCGATCGACCCTTCCAGGCGATTCATGATCATCCTGCTAGTGCGAGCAGCTGTTATGGATGTCTAGCGGAGTGGGAAGAGGCCAGAGGAGCTGAGTAGAACTCGGCTCTCAACTCTCATCATTTGATTTCTCACGGTCCATCATACATGCAGAGGCAGAATGTCTACCAGATAAATATATAGCAAAGTGTACACCACTCAAATGAATATCCATATCTAGGCAATCTCACATATCAAGGGGAACACGGAATGACTCCAGTCTCTCATCCAGCTCTAGACATTGATAACCAATATACATAGTTATATCAACCGACGCAGATACAGGTCCTCAAGTTCTGTTAGTCCAGACTTCATGCAAAGAGCGCTGACGAAACTTACAAACGCAACTTCCCTATGCATTGGCCGCTCGGGAATTTGTTTTGCTGGCACTATATCATACCGTCCATCAGCTCTGGGAACCAGGTTTGATTTTTGGGGGGATGGAATATAGTCAATACATGTTTGCGACACAAGCTCGTAATAGGACAGCCATAGTCTGCTTCCGCAGGAAGAGCCATGGCAAGCATGGCGAGCAAGACAAAGAAAGTAGCAAATTTAAGATGCATTGTTTTCCGAGTGGATGATTGACAGCGGGGCAGAAGATTATTAGTCTTAGCAGTTCTTACTTCATCAGAGGAAGGAGATACTTGTTCTCTATTTATCACTGAGATCGACCCTTGCTTTCATCACGAGGTAGTGCTTTTAGAAATCCAATTCGGAATCGATTGGCAATCAGGATTCTACAATGGAAATCTGTTTGTCCCGTCCCCCCGAGTTCGTACACTTCAGCCAGCCACAACTTCCACGGTAGAGAGCAAGCGAGACACCATTGGCGTAAAAACATGCCTATCGCTGCTTAAGGAAGGTTACATGCATAATGTGGGGGCAACCTCTCACAAGAATGCAAGAGAACCATTTCACATAAAGAGGGGAACTCAGCTGGCAATTGCCACTTTCCTGACTGCCTTGCATTCAGAGTATGTGGCGTGATCTCAACGCTCTGGGTCGACTCTTTAAGGGATAAAACCGAAAGCTCGCCAGATAAGGTATAAGTAGGGACACAGCTCACTGCTTCATCCAAGCTTCAGACCTCATGAATCTGCTCTCTCTTATCATACACTTGCCCTGACAGTAACTTGACCACCGTTTCCCCCCCATTTTCCAAGATGCCAACCCCGCCCATGGCTCCTGACCTTTTTTCTCAGCTGTACTGCGAGGATAATGGCGACATTGGAGAAAAACCATCCAATGTTCATAGTGCACACACTGAGCAATCTATTTTCAGTGTAATAACACCACCAAACACTATCACTTTCTGGTCAAACTACGCTATGAAGGCTACTGTTGGTGACGGAAGCATGAAAGTAGGTGTGCCAAATGGTAATAGCTCAACACTTCGACTTTCGCTTGGACAGAAATGCGACAGTGCCTCCATCTGGACTGCTAACGACTCTTCCTTCAATGGAATCAAAATTGTGTCCGGAAATCAAACACTAAAAGCTGGTCCATGCACTGGAACCGAGCATCCTCTTAACATGGGAAGCGGACTCCTTGTTGGGATAAAAGCTTCTGCCAGTTCAGAGGGTAATCCAACGAAAATCTACTCAATCAATCTCATGTTTTTGAAACCGGTCAAGTCTCTCGTCTCGAAAGTAACGAAGATCGATCTGCCACATGGGCGACAAGGAATTTACCCCGTTACGGTGGATTACTACAACTTCACCAACAATAATCGCGGCAAGTCGGAGGAAACTTGGACATGGTCAAACAGTATCTCAAAGCACACGACCACTTCGTGGCATCAGAATGCGTCAGTGACATTCGGTGCTTCGATGTCGGTCAGTGCTGGAGTGCCAGGGATTATAGGCGTTTCGGACTCGGCCCAGTGGTCTATCACTGCTGGAATATCCCACGATCAATCGGAGAGTGTGGACAAAACTCTCCAGTGGAATGTTAACGGTACTCTGAAATATGGGGAAACGGTCCACTGCGTGGCTCTGAGCCAGGAGGGAAAGGTGGATGTTGATTACGAGTCCGAAGTCACGGTCACTCTTCAGTCTGGCCAAACCTTTACGTTCGAGGAGACCGGTCGATTCAAGCGGGTGGACTATTCCAGTGTCGACGTCCAGACAAAGTGATTGATTGAGATTGGGATTTTTTGAAATGCACGCAAAATCTTATTGGCTAAATCAACTTTCTCTGGATTGTTTTATCTATATTCATGTTACATGTTTGGGGGTACTGTGGTTAGGGCATCCTCAAATGTAGCTGAGTACTTTAAACTTATCCAGGCCCTTATGCAGAATCAGTGCTTCCAACGGGCAAATTGTGACCGGTGTTTCAGCCAGCCACAGCCAGCCAGGAATGTCTACATACATGTTCAGATCTGACATCATACATATGTAGTATGACGGTGAACGTGATAATAAGCCAATAAGAATATTATGATGGTAATGTGGATGCCAGTTCAGCCAGCCCAGCTACATAGTTGCAAACATCGATGGCCTTGTGCAGAGGACGCTTCCCGGGTCGGAGACCGTCGGACCAACCGCCCTGCAGGTCAGATGTATTTGATGCGTTACTGCCCGACCATTTTAAACATGCAAGTATCTGGATACTAGTGCTAGTGAGTGGAGAATATGTAGGTGAGGGAGAGCTCGGGCCATCTTTCACAATGCCGAAGAGGCTGATCAATGAAGTCCTCGAAGACAGCAGCATCCATGGATCCTTGAAACACACAAGAGAGCACAATTCCATCCTAGGAATATACGGGTAGTATCTGGTAACGCTGATCGCGATAGAAGTTGGCTACTTGCAATGGAGCTACGCTTATCGCATCCCGACTGAAAACCAGATAGGCTATGTAGGTAGAAGTCTCTTGGGTCGGCATTCTGCTCCTTTGCTCTCTGTCGAGCCACCTTCTTCGACTAACCGACCGAAGCCTGAGCCCGCTTGAGGCTCGAATTTGTCACCTGGACAAGGAACTTGTTCCATAAGAATATTGCCATCTTATCTATATACAGCCCGGGTTTTCGAGTAGGTGGTCACACAAAGCCTGTAGCATCGGAGTAGTTACGCTTCGTTGTCGACCGACGAGGATTGGGGGTGCTCTGACATTTCCGAATCAGCGAAGGTTGTTGCTGATGTTAATAACTGAGCGCTTGCTACATTCAGCAGCTTTGGCCATTTATGAGGTAGTTAGTGTTTTGCTCAATATTATATCTTGGATCTCAAGCTTTGAGAGGGGGAGTCTAGGCGCTATGTCGTCCAAAGACAGCGTAAGGACTAGGATGTTGGGGGGGTGGGATTTGGCGGAAGAAATGGGCGGGCGACCACGAAATGTGAAGGGAAACCGATCTATTTGCTCACCCTTGCTCACCCCTCTGCTTAGGGAGCAGGTGAAATTATTTTGGCTGGAAAGTCTGGGGGATGCTAGGTATTAGGAAATGCACGTGACCTGACGATCTCGCAGTTCCTGGGAGCTTGGGGGGCATCTCAAAAAAAAAAATGGTTGCTAGGCAGAAAAGCCATACGTGGGTTTCGCATCGCATCAACAAAATGGAATCCTGTATATCGAGGTTTGCTTGAATCAACGGCAGCAATAGAATCTCGAAGTGATAACGTCAAAGCGTGCTTTTCGCTTAGATGATTATCGCGTGTTGCGCTTGATTAGAGTGTTCTGGCTCGGGCCGATCTAGTTCCTGGGAAGGTGCTGATCCTACCCCACAAGACCAACACTGCTCGATGTGGGTGGCCCCCTGACCGAGTTTTCAGTCTTAGCGCCGCGGAGCCGAGTCACCTGATAACGTGCCCCTCCCACAGCTGAGACCTAGAGCTAGTAATGAACCTACAAACAGGCACGTATGTACGATCATGGCGTCGAAAAGCCACTCTAATGTCAACTATGGAGCCTAGGTGGAAACTAATTATAGCGAATTCAAAGCACACTTCTACCTGCCTCCGGGTACAGTAGATTTCGAAAACGGCTTCCCCTTAGAACACTCACGGCTTGTTTCTCGGCCCGTACCCGAAACTACACTAGCTCGAGTTAGGACTAGTGGTAATCTAACATGTATTGTGAGCCAAGCATGGTCAATACCAAATCCACACTCGAATTAGTGTGGTTTCGGGTACGGGCCGAGAACCAAGCCATGTGCGACACATTCCATCAATTCCCACAAGTTAGGTACACGAGATCTGTTAACAATTTTACAGAGTTGAAATGAGTTAAATATATTGTGAGTGTCCCACGGTGTACGATTTTTTCTTGCATTGAGACCTAGGTCCGCTATAGCATACAATCAGCCAAACTTGAATCTAGTTTGCCTAGGTGAAGTTATAGAGCGTCCAAATTCAATGGTGACCGCCCGTGATACCTACACCCCTAGGTGTTTATCATCTAATTTGTTAAAATCTTCAGGATATTGTGCTATTAGTATAGATATACTTAATCGAACAGTTTTGTGAAGAAAAGTACGAAGGAATTACTATTAAAGAGTCTCAAGTACTTTTAGATACATATAGGACATTCGACAGGTCAGATCCGATGCAACGTGAACTTCTGCTGCTGACACTTATCCTTCAGTCCAACCTCAGCGAGTTCAATCCAGCTAGTCGAGCTGTCACTGTCTTTGCCCTTATTGTTGATCCTGACAGTCCACACCGACTGGAACTTCTGGCCTTTCTCTAGGATAAGATTCTTGAGACTGGTGGTGAATTCATGTGGGGGGCCAGCGACCTTGAGGTCGTACTGGTAGTAGTTGGATGTATTCCCCAACTTGGCTGGCTCTGGCAATTGTGCGCCAGAAAGTTCATGGGTGGTGACATAGGTGTACCCATTCTGGTCCTTGTTTGGATCTTGATCTTCAACTCGCTGTATGTACGGCTTGGTAGTTCCGAACAGGCAGACCTCATCGCTGCCAGTGAATAGCGTGATTCTAGTATGGGACAGGGTCACCTTGTTCGGGGTATTGTTCACACCGGTTATGGTAGTGGCTGTATTCTCGCCTGCATGCACATTTGTCTCGGAAAAACTGTAGGTGAGCTGGGGTTCAGGGGATAGATCAAAGGTCGCAATCAGGTTGTGTGCCTTCTCTCTAATGAAATCAGCGTTAGGGTCTGGCGGTTCTTGTCGGGTAGAATAGAAGTTGACAAAAAGCTGCACAATCATCAAAATCATTCCGATGACTGCCAGGACGGCCCCGAGAACCGGGAAAGCCACACTCATAGCTCCGGTAATCGCAAACAACCCGATGTCTGCTGTAGTAGTGACTATGTTGAGCACCACGATAAGTCCTTGGACAACAACATTTAGTACGCCCAGGACCTTTCCAGTATCTGTCAGAGAATTCCATTCATGGGCCAGGGAGAAAGACATTGATACAACAAGACCAATGCCAAGGATAGTATTAAGAATCCGAAGCATCTTTCCTTCGACGTTCAGCTTCTCGGCTACCTCTTCATGTCCTGGTGGAACTTCTTTCGCGGGACTCGAAATCTCTTCGTTCCACGTTTCCCTAATCTCGCCTTCTGTTGGGACTCCAGATTCCCCTTGAAGTTTTTCTCCGATCACAACACGGTAGTCCAACTTCTCGCTAACACTTTCTTCAGCTATAGTCCCCATCTTTTTGCCCTTCAGGTCGATAGTCTCTGATATCCTGTCGTCTAGGAGTTGCGTGTTGACATCATCTATAGCAGTGGACGTGGGTTTGGACTTGAATGACTTGAACGCATCGAACGCATGATCAATGGCGTCAATCACCATGCGAATTGTTTCGAGAATTACTGTGGCTCGTGCCGCATCAGACATGGGGGGTAGGATTATCCCAAATAGAAGTAGTGATAATCCAAGACGAAATGACTTGCTTGCAATATTCTCGAACACCACATGTTTTGCCTTGCACCATGTAGCATATGCAATGTCTCTGGTTTCCTTCTGAGATTTCCAGGTGTTCTGCGCGTTGTTTCCAGTTATAGCACCCGGTTGCAATGGCGACCCACTTGTACTTTTCAATCAAGGCATTGTCGCGCAATGCCGGCCGTGTGGATTTAGAATGGGTATCTGAGCACTGAAATAGCGAATCAAGAATACTAGCTGTAAAGAACAAACGTGACGCAGAATTTGGCCGCAGGGAGGAAGCCGCTTCCCAGCTATTCCTGATGCGCGATTGGGTCTGGCTAAAATGAGTAGCTAGCTGTGCATTGCGGCTCAATAGTGTTAAGGCAGCAATTCCCAAAGAGTAGCAAGGAGCCATGCACCACTTTGTAAGAAGTTTTGACATTGGGTCATCGAAGATATCAATATATAAATCCAATTTCTGAGCGCGTGTTTTGGAAGTCATCATGTGGCAGGCTAGGACAGACTCGTGGCGCGATAAGTTACTCGTTGTAGCGGGCAAGAGAGAATCGTTGATGGCATCAAGGACGGGGTCGGCAGAATGATTCTTAACCAAGGAACCAGATGCAAACTTTGTATAAGAAGGCTTCTTGCTCGCACGCCATGCAACTGTGCAGTCCGTGCCTCGTAGCTTGCACATCGAACATGGTGATGAAGAAACATTGTTCACGTGGTTGGCATTGGGGGCCAAATCGCAGGCCCTTTTCGCCGAACAGCAGGGATCACACGAGTGGTTTTATCTTCGAAGTCTTTTTGGTCTCCGGTTACTCGCAGGTATTTGGCTCTGTAGAGGTGAAGGGAGTTTTCCGTGGGTTTGTTGGTCGATTTCAGCGCAAGGGGATCTGAGTATTTCGGCAACCTGGGAAAGACCAGAATGATCTGGTGGATCCAAGTCTCCACTGTTAAACTGTTGCGGCTCTGCATTTTCAGATAAGTGGCGTGAGTAGTTCGATGCCAGACCCATGTCAGAAGTAGAGGACGGGGCAAACATTCCAGAGTATCCAATGGGTTCAAAAGGATAAGGAAACGCGGCGTGACTCTGGAGCGCTGACGCGCCTAGGGTGTGATTGCAGTCACTATCTTCAGCACCAATTACGTTGGAATCATAAGGATAACCGTATAGGTTGGCAAACATCATACTTCCGGTCTCCATATAGACGGTATTCCGATTCGCGGGAATAATAAAGATCATAAAAAGTGCACTCAATGCACTCAACTGGATCAAGAAAACACACTGAAGACAATGGACGCATTCCTCCGTCTATGTGAAGACCATGAAAAGGAATTTGGTAGTGGGATTGCCCACCTGGGCCAAGAGATATTGCGGACCCGCGGGATCCGCGGGCCCCGTGTTAAACCTCCAGGGGTGCCATCGACGCTTGCTGTAGTACTAGAATATCCAGGTCCAGGGCATTGTGAGTTTAACTTACCAAATGCCTTTCGAAGTCGGAATTGGTTAATGTGGAAATGAATAATGAAGGACCTTAAATTGAGGAGGCATTCGAGCGGATATTTGCCTCTCAGATTTACATTTCAGATTCTAGTAAGAGAACATAACTTCCGAACGGGCTAAACAATTTTGAAGATTGGTTACTTAGAGCTCCGGCCGTCTTTTGGCCAATTTAATAGAGACATCACAAGCGGCCTGTGCGCCGCTTGACAGAGCGCCCTCAATAGAGCCTGCTTCGCTTGCAGAAATGTCACTTCCTGCGAAATGAATGTTACCATGCGGTTGTCGAAGTACCACGGCACCGGGAATAAAGCAACCAGGGTGGCTCATCATCCAGCCTCCCTTGGAAAATTCATCACCGGCCCAACTATGGTACGCGATATCGACAACTTCAATACCTAGTATAAACTTCCGCAGCGCAGCTTGTACCCCAAAGCGATCTTCTCCACGAATAGCAGAATCATCGGAGCACATACAGAGAACGAGAGTATCCCCATCCAAGTACCTCTCAGTCCTGACGGCATTGAGCAGATATTTCCCAGCTGGTGCACAGATGGTAATGGGCTCGATCTCCCCCCGAACTCGGATCCAGAGCTTGCCAGCCAGCTTTGGGTCCTTTCTCGCAATCATGGATTGTGCCACATGGGGCAAGGCTGATGTAATGTGTATGTCGCCAATAGTGTTTATTGGAAGCGCAACGATTGTCGTACGGGCACGGAACTTTTGGGCATCTCAAGTTCCAATGGTAACCTGGGAACCTTCGTCGGAAATGGAGTCCACTGGCGTGAAAAGCGGCAGTTTGGCAGTCGTTCCATCCATCATGCCATTTACCAGTTTCTTTGTACCGCCCTGGATACTCCAAGTGCCGGCTGTCTCGAGGAAGGCACCGAAATTTCCAAAGTATGTAGCCACGGCATGGAGTAGTTGGGCAATTCCATGATCTTTGTAGGAATGCACCACACCGGATAATACCGCCTCCAACACATCCCGCTCGTATGAAGATAGATTCAATTAATTGATGCGGTCCTCAATTGACTCTTTCTCAATCTCCGTGTTGTCGAGTGCGGTAGGGTCGAACGGCATCGGGAATCGAGCACGGCTATCTGCGAATAGTTGTTCCCGAAGTGGAGTCACCCTGCCATAGAAGTCTTCGGAGGTACCAGAGTTTACGGCCCCATCGGCAAGCCAGTAACTCCTTCCTTCCTGCATCGGGGCGTTGACGGTAATTCCAAGACGCTGAAGCTCTCTCCAGATGTGCGGTTGTGTCCAGTGAACATAGGCCCCTCCAAGTTCCATTACTGTGCCGCAAGCATGATCCATATAGGTTCGTCCTCCAATCTGGTCACGGGCCTCTAACAAAACCACTTCATAGCCTTTCTCACTGAGGTCACGAGCTGCAATGATCCCGGCCATGCCAGCTCCGATTACAGCCACGTCAAATAGTTCGTTCATTCTGGCGAGAAACAGTTTCGCTGGTTCGTGAATAAAATCGAATTGTGAGACACTGTGTGCAAAGGAGTCTGCTGGGCTAAGTTAGAAGGCCTTTCGGTTCCTGACGGAAGAAGGAACTGCAATATGTACTCCAGGCAGGCCCCAGAATTGAAAGGGCCACGGATCCACTTGGCGAGCTAGGTGCAGAAAATGCCGCCCAATAATTCCCTCCAGAACGATTCGGTAGATGGGGAAGTGGAAGCCAGCGGAGTTGCGGTGATCCGGGGTGTCTGCAGCTATACATGGGACAATTGATATCCTTGCAGCCATGCGAGTATTGACTGCGCCTCGTCGGCTGTTTAGCGGCTCCGCGGCTCCAAGAATTCACCACTAAAGCTTATTGACTGACGCGGAGTAGCCCAGTAGGAGTGGCTTACCTTCCCTGAAGGGTCGTATATGAGATTGCATTGGCCCCTATGGATCTTGGTAGCATTCAGACAACAAAGCACACGTGAGCTAAGTCGATATAAACTCCGTCATACACGTATTTTTGTAGCCTAGTCAGACAATATTTATAATTGGAACATCCCTTATTGGCCAATTCAGTGGAATCCCCTTGCATATCCCTCCGTCATAATGGAGCTCGGGGCCCGCGGGACCCATCGAGCCGAGACACGGCAGGAGTATCCGTTAATGTTGTCGCGTCTCCATTCCCTCGGGTTGAATTCTTGACTTTTCGCTCGCAATTTAGAGCACAAAAGTCTGCAGAGAAAAGTTTGCCTACAGCCGCTATGTCGTCCCCAGATCTCAACAGCGACATTCACTTCATACAAACACCACCGGCCAAACCCTCAAAGTTCGAAACGCCTGAGGATTGTGGAATACCCCTCACAGATGTCAGTCCTCCAATTATTACTATGCGACCGATTGCTAACTGATCAACTCTATCAGTCTGCGGCCATTCACAATGCGCCTCTGCCAGTTGATGGTGCTGGTAACCAGGGATTCTCTAATTCCCTCCTAATCGGTTTCCTGATGGGCGTCCCGGCCGTCCTTGCTTATCTACTTGGCGGCGGTATGAAGGCAACTATATTCCTTGGTCTAATCACGACGGTGCCAATTCTGGTGGGGTACTGGACATGGACATCCTCCTGCAGTTCTCGCATGACCGACAAAGGCAAATTGCCGGGGCGACCGATAGAACAGTATTTAAAGTTCAAAAATGGGACGGATCATGCCAAATGGCAGGGCAAGAAACGTGTCCCTATGCAGACCTTCTGTGAAATGTATCTCGATGGTGTGGTCGACTTTAACGGAGATACTCTCGACATCTTGGAATACCGCCATGATTGGGCGCATTTCGGCTTCACTTGGGATCTGTTCAAGTACATTTTCCTGACCTTTGCTCGCGACGTGTTGCTTCACACCAAAGACCAAGACGATCAGCAGATCCGTCCGAACTACGACCGTGGTAACGACCATTATGCTTGGTTCCTTGGTCCCCGCATGATCTACACCTCCGGTATCATCTCCGACACGTCAAAAGAGGAAACGCTGGAGGAAATGCAGGATAACAAGATGGCGATCGTTTGTGAAAAGCTTGGTCTCAAGCAAGGCGAGACTATGTTAGATATTGGCTGTGGATGGGGGACTCTGGCGAAATTCGCAAGTCTCAACTATGGAGCGAAGGTGACCGGTCTCACCATTGCACGCCACCAGACAGCATGGGGTAACGATGCTCTCCAAAGGGCTGGGATTGCCGAAGCGCAAAGCCGTATTCTATGTATGGACTACCGCGACATTCCTCATGCCCAGTACGATAAAATCACGCAGCTCGAAATGGGCGAGCATGTCGGCATACGAAAGCTCACCGCCTTCTTCCGCCAATGTTATGATATGCTGAAAGACGACGGTGCCATGTATGTGCAGCTTTCCGGTCTTCGCCAAACATGGCAGTATGAGGATTTGATTTGGGGACTGTTTTTGAACAAGTACATCTTCCGTGGCGCGGATGCGTCTACTCCTCTTTGGTACTATACGATGTGCTTGGAACGGGCTGGATTTGAGATCAAAAGGTGAATCCTAAGAGAATTTCTCACACTGCCTTTTGACGGGACTAACTATGGTCCAAACATCAGTATCGATACCGTTGGGGTGCATTATTCTGGAACTCTCTGGAGATGGTACCGCAACTGGCTTGGAAATGCCGACACCATCAAGGCCAAGTATGGCCAACGGTGGTTTAGGGTGAGTGTCATCCTATGTGCTAAGCCTGCAAGGTTTTAACATCGAATAGATTTGGGAGCTCTTCCTCGCCTGGTCTGTCATCGCTTCTCGCCAAGGTAGTGCCACTTGTTATCAGATCCTCGTTGTGAAGAACTTGAACTCAACCCACCGCATCAACGGGGTTGCATCTCAGTTTGGGTTGTCGGCTGCTCTCGCTTCGAGCAAAAAGGCCGGTAAATCGAAGCTGGAGGTTGCGTGAGGGGTCGACAACTTGAGGATAGGCTTCATTGCCGGATGATAACCAGAGCTTTCGGAGTTAGCCGTGCCCGCGGATCCTGCGGGCACGGCTATCAACGTAGACATTCGGAGCCACAAAGTCTGGGATCTGCAAATGTATGTGCTAAATTAGTCACTGAAAATTCGGTCGCATAGAAGACATTCACATTTGTAGTTGAGGAGATATAGAATTGTCAGCCCAATCTAGACTTTCCATCCACATCATCCGCTTACCACCCTAGTGGAGACGGTGCGTGAACTAGCGATGTGAGAGCAGTGCAAACGACAAAACAAAAAAAGCAAAAAGTAAAAACATACAACAGTGAGGATTCGCTGGTGGTCACCCACCCAACTACTAACTCACCGGCGTGTGGCTTAAGTACGGCTGAGCGGACGGGAAGCCCTGTTTTCCACACCCTATGGTCGTATGTGCTTGATACTACTTTGCGGAGGATTATAGAATATACATGTATGAAAGTGCTTCGGTTATAGGGTGATGCGGGTAGGGTGAGAATCACCATGTGATGTAGCGTTGAGCAACTGTGGATTTCCCGTGCGTTTGGCATGGCTATTATTCAAAAGCCAATTGAGCAGGATAACCGTTGGGTGATAGTCTTCAGTTGTGCGGCCTGACTACACATTCAACTTAATATTCGACATTTATAAAAAAGCTATTGACTTGGGAGGTGTTTCGGACACTTCTAATTCGATTGACTTCCAGCTAATCTATACCTTATGACAAGCCATAATACGAGTCCGTAAGAGCCATGATTCTCGCCCGGTCTTGGCGATGGACAAAAGAAGATGGGCTAAAAGACTCAAATGGTCAAGAGCAGTTCCTGAAGAACTCTGTGCAAATCAGTAGAGAGATATAAGTTAACACAGACTATTGATACCTAAGGCAGGAAGCACTGATCTGTAAACTCGTCACCTCTACGTCCTTCTTTTCTCTGACCTCGCCGGCACCGAAGTTCGGCTTGACCACCCTTCCACCTTGCCCGCTAAGACATTTGTTCTCGATGAAAGGCTATCAGAAGACTATCAGACAATGACTCAGTTGGAATGCGACCAAGGGCCGGGTCCGCCGTTTGCTGATATCAAGTTCTCTGTCACAGTCTTCTCAACCTCAGCAGGGCTTCATGAGAATCAACTATCAAATCCCGATTTGACGGTACCGGTTTTCGCCCACCCGAAGTTCGAGCCCGACAGGCTGTCGGCCAATAAATAGTATAGATAAACAAATAATAATTAATAATTATCTAGTAATAAATAGTATATAGTATATATACTAAGACTAAGGTAAGGTAATCCTTATAGTACGATTTTATGCTTATAAATCAGCATTTTATCCATCCAAATTAGGAAATTTCTTGGCAAATTATACTAGCGCAGTACTAAAACTGGTGCTGCGACAGTGCTGCAGCACCATATAACAGCACCAAAATTGGCTTAGTCCCGCAGCACCTCGCAGCACCATATCGCAGCACCAAAATTGCCTAGGTGCTGTGGGACTTGTCAAGGCCTATATACATTGGTAATTCTCTGCTATACCGCCCACCTCAAGCAGGAGGTATCTTTACCCGTTTATCTCTCTAGAATGTCATACTTGACCTTACAGAATAGCTCCTTCCACCATCCAAGCTGCATCTCATCCGCAATATGATAGAGAGCTACATAGTTACTTAGCACGTCTAAAATGGCTGAAGAAGTAGGATGCAGCCAGGCTACAATTATAAATATTCGCTCAAACTTGCGATAATTTGGAAATGTACACGTACCCCTAACATGAATAGGATGGAAATGGACTGTAACACCACTAATGATCGAAGCCCTCTGCGAGCACTTATCTAAAAAGCCTGATTTATACCTCGATGGGATATGTGTTTTCCTCTAAGAAGAATTCTGTACCCTGGTCATAACCTCTAGTATAAGACGAGCCCTTACTACTAAAGGTTAGTCTAAAAAGAGCATTCGGTAGTAAGCTATAGAGTAAAACGCCGATTTACGATAATAGTATTTATATAATTTATCAGGTCTTTAGCTATATTAGCTAGTTTATATAAATAAATCTAGATATAATAAAAGGTTTAGGTTTAGGCGCACAAGGCTTGTTACCACGTGGTATAGCCCCTATATAAGTATTACAATTTTACCACAACTAGCGATATCACATACTACCTTTATATACCTAGGATGGAATCATTTTCTTGCGTGTCTTCTATAAGTCTATTGATAATACTACTATATTAGAGGAATTTATAGCGTAGCTTCTTTAGTACTAAAGCAGATAGCCTAAACCTAAATCTATTTTAGTTATAGATAACGCCTCGTTTCATTATTTAGAGCGGATGACGTAGATATATATGGACGTAGGGGTTAAATTGGTCTATCTACCACCCTACTCGCTGGACTTGGATCTGATTGAAGAGTTTTTCGCTAAGCTCGAAGCCTTTATTAAACGTAACTGGAGTTATTATGAAAGAGATCCTGATTAAGGCTTTGATGCTTTTCTTGGAATG